CGGTGGTTCTGTGTTTTAGTTGTGATTTTGATGCGGTTGCGGCAGGCGGCGGGTGCAGCTGTTACCTACGCGCCATCTTGTTTCCTCTCTGCCTGTCTTTTTAATGTGCATCTCTCTAGCCTGACCTTGTTCATAGGGTTGACATTACCTCTTTTGTTGTTGGATTTTAGTTTTTCTGGTTGTTGTTATTTGTTTTTAATATTAGCTATAAGTATACCCATATAGCTCTATAGGGCAGAACCTATGAGAACATGTAATACAGGGAGCAGCAAAAGTAGCTTTACAGTTATTTCTATGGAAAATAATACAATAATTAATAAAGAATAATACAAGAATAAACTCTGTGTTTCACGTACTCACAACTGTAAACCTCCTTTTGCCCACCCTGTATATATTCAGGCAGTTTGATGAGTCAGTAACTTGTGTAAGTAGCCTGTTTGCATATCAATAAATTTATTGCCACTCAGTAAATACTATGACCTCAAGGATGAAGTTATTTTAAACAGGATTGTTTTTATGTTTATTTTATTGAATTCAATAAGTCAATTCAAAATATCTGCATTGGTGTTTGAAATGCCCAAATGCCATTTTGCTTTTCCAGTTAATCAGCTCCCCAGGAGTCTGCTACTCTAAGCAGAGCCCTAAAGATGCAATTTTCCCACCATTACTCTCCATTCAACCTGTCAACTACAATTCCTCAGGAATCCATATTCACTGTACCCTGTGGGCTACTGTAGGGGTATCAAAAACATGAGGTCATAGAGTTCATGCCTTTAGGGAGCTTGCAGCCTCTTCTGGGAGATTAGAGGAGAGAGACCAAAATAAAACTAACCATCTCAAGTGGTACACAGAAAGTTCTAGACATATGGCTTAGGTGGCAAGAGAGGAGATGTGGGGAGATCAAGGTAGAAATAAATGTTGGGGCCAGAGGACCTTCATCATGCTTTTGCTTTGAATTATAGAATACTTATTTCCCTTTCTCTTACTTCCTGAAGAAATGGCAAAAATGTCCTTAGATTTCTTTTTTAATCTGTTGCCATCTTTCAGGAATTTGTTTACTCATCTCCTGGGATGTTGGTGACCAGCCTGAGCTAAAGAAATCCACTTAGGTTCATACTGGAATTTGATAGATCAGAAGAATGACTTCTATTTTTCATTGGTCATATGAAAAGTCAGGTGGAAAGGCCTTCCTTTCTCCTTGGATGGCAAGGTTAGCTAATATATCCATTAATGATAATTGTTTTTGTGCATACCGCCTTCATTTTCCTTAACTCAGAAAAATTTCATCTATCCAAATGTCATATATTTAAACACTAAAAAATTATTTTTCCTTGTTTGGTTTTATTGTCTCTAAATTATAGTCCCATTGTCACATAAGCAAATACAAGTTATGGGTAGCATGAAAAGAGGGGCCAAAATACTGTGGTTGAACTATTTGGAACTATTTGGCATGTATTACATTTGATTGGTTAAGGAACAGGAAATTGTGAACATATTGTAATGAAAATTAGTAAATTTTAAAATCGTATCATTTTTTTATTATTCAAAATATTACAGATGTAAAATTGTATCATCTTTATTGTTAAAGGTACTTTAAAATGAAACTTCATTATGTAGATTTTTCTCTTCACATATTAACATATTTCATTTATTTGGTCATTTTTCGTCTGTTGTCATGATGTATATTTTAGAATCAGAACCATTTTAAAGCTGCCATGGGTCCTAGAGAGCTTCTAGTCTGACCTCTTCATTTGGCAAATGAAAGAGCCAAAGCCCAGAGGCGTTGTGGGACTGACTGAGGCCACACCGGAAACGGTGGGAAGTCTGGTACAGAAGAGTAAATCCTCTGCTGACAAGCGAACCATGGAACAATGCAGACTTGATATGCTTTGCCTGTGATCCCACCGTTTCAAACGGGAATTCTAGGATCTTTTGGACATTGCACATGTATCAATAGTATGTTTCCAAGTACCCAGAGTTGTCCCTGTTCTACAGATCTTCCCTGGATGAGCTCCAGGTGTGGCACTGTGAACAACTCAATCAAAATTTTCTACCTTTGCTGGTTTGGCTCTGTGGTTAGAGCGCAGGCCTGGGGACTGAAGGGCCCAGGGTTCTGAGGCTTAATTTAACAGATTTAAATGTTCTTGACTTTTTATCATGAAATGTAAAATATTTATTTGGTTTCTTTTTAAAGTCATATTAACTAATCAGATCTTGTTGTATGTCATTCACTGCCTATGCTGCATTATTTTATTCATTAAGATGCAGGAGCCTATGGAGGTTATTCAAGAGGAGACAGCTTGCTGTTGATCAGAAAGGAATAGAACGGAGAGGCTTGTCTTTCGGGGATGGTTGAATGTAGTCTCTTTCAAAAGCAGAGGGCTAGTTTGGGTGAACTCAAAGATCTCTTTCAGCCCTTTTAATCTCTAACTGAATCATTAAATACAATAAATAGTTAAAACTAGTTGTAATTTAAAGACTTACTTGTGAACATATTCAACTAAATCTGTAGTATTCTTGGTTGACATTTTGGCTGGAGATAATCTTACCTAAAACAAAGGTAATGGGTTTAAAATGTATTATCAGGTACTTTACAGGGAGGTCTTATATATCTTATCCTTACATAAATTTTTAAATGTTAAACAAAATATAAACTATAGATCATAGACCATCAGCCCAGTTAATTTTGCACGGGCCCCTTTCCATTGCTAGAGACTAAAACCAAAGTCAAGTTCTGGGAGGGTAACAGGGAGCTACACTTCACAGATTAGGTATCACAGGAAAAACTCTTTGGAAAGGTCAAAGCATAGACTATTCTTAGATACATTTTTAATGAAATATCCGATGGTTATTGGCTGAGTTACTAAAGAAGTCCTCACAGAGTAAATTATTCCTGAAATGCTGAATTCCAAGGGAAATAAACTAATTTTCTAAAAGAAAGCCCAAAACTAGAAAACTAGCCTATCCAGGTAATTTTGTTTTCTAATAAAGCTGAATGTCAGGTTATTATAGCCAATAAGAAATAAGTCAGGGCACAGTTATGTACATAACTTCCTAGTATTAAGTATAGCTGACCATATGAATGCTCAACTAATTCAAAAAATTGATACCACTCCATGATGCATATGTTCTCTTTGCATCACAGTTCATAATTTTGCAACATTTCTAGGGAGAAAGGATCAAAATGTCCTGTCTTTGCACATGCCGACACTGTTTTCAACTCTAATGCTCTTTTATTTTTAAGTTTAAAAACAGGACATGTTTTTATCTTCATTTTAATAGCCTGTCACTGAACTGGATTCAATAGGGAAAGAAGAATGGAATTCCATCTCATTTTAAAACTTAAACAAAATATGTTCCTAGGATATTTTTTCTTGGTTTATGTTATTGTAAACTATAATGATGAGCATAATATGTTAACACCCACATACAGAAATCATTCCTTTTTCAAATGCCTAAGGAACTACCACTTCTTAATTTAAGGCCTAATAAAACTTAATTGGAAATCTCTCCTTCTAGTGACACTAAAAAAAAAAAAAAAAAA